CCCCCCGTGCTCTGCCTCTGTCCTCTTCGTTTGGTTTTCCTCTTCTTTCCCTTCCTAGTTCTTTGGGCTTTTTCCAGTGTTTTACTTTGTTTCTGTGCTCTTTCCTCCCTTTCTTTCTCTTCCCCTCCCTCGTTTTGCTCATTGCTCTCATTTTCCCTTGTCTCTTTTCTACCCGTTGTTTTCAGTTTCCTTTTAGTTTGTCTTTTGGTCTTTCTCCTGTTTACCAGCCCTTCTCTGCTTGTTGATACATACATATATATATGTATATATGTATATATATATATGTATAATTTTATACTTAAATTTTTTTTACCCTGTGCATTATTTTTTGTGTTGTGTTTTCTCTTCCCTCCCCACCTTTTTGGACTATTATTTCTTGTCCCGATGGGAGACAGCAACTTTCCCCACATGGCCCAGTATCATCCATAACTCCTATAGCTACACCTTCTGAGAGAGGGCCTTCCTATTCCACCAGGGCACTGACTGATAGCTGAAAATGCCAGTCAAAACTGCTCTTCAGTGTTCATCGAAGGGATACTGTAATTACAGAACTTTCAAGTAGGGAGATTTTGAGTAGAACAGACTGATTTCAACTTGGGAAGAAACGAGGGTAACTTCAAGGAAAATCAAAAACTCATCAAAATAAAACAAAATCTTAAAAGATCTAGTAAATACTAAGACAATAATAATGAAAAGGGGAAAAAGACCAGAAAACCTGCAAACAGAATCAACTCGGCACAGACGTGATGTGGAACCGAACCCCCCCCAGCAAGTACACACACTATAAGACAGCAGTGCGAGGGCAACTGGGTAGACCACCAGCCAAGGGGCAGCAGCACAGAGAATGAGAAAACAGGACCTTTTAATATGTTGTCTCCAAGAGACACGTTAGATACTAAGGCGAAAATACACTGAAAGGAGGAAATACACCAAACTAGTGGCAGACAAACGAGCAGGAGTGGCAATACTGATTTCTGAGAATATTGACGCAGAGGCAAAAATCTAGCACGTGAACAAAAGAAGGGCATTATGTAATGATGAGAGGGTCACGAGTAGGACGTGACCATGACAACTGCCTGTGCAGTCAGTGAAAGCGTGTCCAAATGCTTTAGCCCAAGCCTTACAGTCAAAAAGACCGACAATTCTACCACAGTAGTAGCAGACTAATATGCCACTTCTGATGAAGGATAGAACAGCTAGAAGGAGACTTAGCAAAGACATGTAACTAAGCACAATACAAGTTTTGAACTTGCAGACGTACACAAGGCACAGAGCCCTCTGCCCAACACAGCATTCTATACATTCTTTTCCATGCACGTGTGAGTCTTCAGCATAGACAATATGGTGGATCATAAAGACAGCCTCAATAAGCAGTATGAAAAAAACCAGTATGAACCTCAAAAGGATTTTTTTAAAGCTTCAATAAATTTTAAAGTATCAAAATGTCGAACAACATATCAACCTGTGTGATCACGGGGTGTCGAACGGATCACTGAAGACAAATGGGTGCATAAGCAAATGTGGCGAAGAAAGCTGATGGTGCCCGGCTATCAAAAAGTATAGCGTCTGGGGTCTTAAAGGCTTGAAGGTAATCAAGCGGCCATCAAGCTCAGAAGCAACAAAGCCCACATGGAAAAAGCACACCAGCCTATGCAACCACGAGGTGTCGAAGGGATCAGGTGTAAGGCATCATCAGAACAAAAAATCTTACCATAGTGAATGATGGGGGGAGTGTGGAGTGGAGATCCAAAGCTCATTAGTAGGCCACTGGAGATCCCCTTGCAGAGGGGTCTCGGGGAGGAGATGAGCCAGTCAGGGTGCGATGTAACAATGATGAGAAATACAACCTTCCTCTAGTTCCTAAAGGTTTCCTCCCCGCTCCCACTACCATGACTCGAATTCTATCTTGCAAGACTGGCTAGACCAGAGGAGGTACACTGGTACAGATAGGAACTGAAAATACAGGGAATCCAGGATGGATGAGCCCTATAGGACCAGTGGTGTGAGTGGCAAAACAGGGAGGGTAAAGGAAGAATGGGTAGGGAAGAGGGAACCGATTACATGGAACTGTGTGTGACCTCCTCCCTGGGGGACAGACAACCGAAAAGTGGATGAAGGGAGAAGTCGGACAGGGCAAGATATGACAAAATACCCGTTTATAAACTATCAAGGGCTCATGTGGGAGTGGGGAGCGGGGAGGGAGGGGAAAAATGAGGACCTAATGTCGGGGGTTTAAATGGAGAGAAAATGTTTTGAGAAATGATGTACAAATACGCTTTACACAATTGATGTGTGTATGGATTGGGATAACAGTTGTATGAGCCCCTAATAAAATGTTTTAAAAAAAAATGTTGAAAAGGATCTCATATCACAATGCTATAAAATAAAAATAATAGATCATGGGGGCGGGAGTCAAATATATGGAAAATAACACCTGCTTAAAAGCAACTTAGAAGAAATTTTAAAATCCTATGAATCAAATCAGAATGAAGATCGACCATGCCCAAGCGAAAGGGATAGTAGAATACTTGAACTATACTCCCTCCACAAGTTGGCAGACTAAACAAATTTCTAGAAACAATAGAACAAACCCACTGCCACCGAGTAAATTCTGATGCACAGCAACCTCATAGGGAGTTTCCAAGGCACACGATCTTTATTAGGAGCAGGTAGCCTCCTACTTTAAGGGGACTGATAACTCCAAAAGACCCATACAAAAGGAAATTGACTAGGTCATTAAAAAACTCCCAACTTCCTTCTTAATCCCCTCTTCCATGGTCGTGTCCGATGTGTATAGAAAACCTACCGACTTCCGTTTATTGATTTTGTATCCTGCCACTCTTCCATATTTCTCTTTCGCTGTAAGTACTCCAGCTGTGGAACTTTTGGGGTCTTACATGTATAGGATCATGTCATCTGCAAATAGCGATAGTTTCACCTCCTCCTCTCCCATTTGGATCCCTTTGATGTCCTTCCGCTGTCTTATGTTAGCCAGAACCTCCAAAACAATACTGAATAGAAGTGGGGGCACGGCATCCTTGTCTTGTACCCTTTTCAGTGGGATTGTTTTTGTCTTTTCTCCATGTTGGCCATTGGCCTTTCATAGATAGCTTGTATCAGCTTGAGGAACTTACCTTCCAATCCTATCTTCATGAGTGTCTTGATTAGGAATGGGTGTTGGATATTGTCAAATGCTTTTTCTGCATCTATGGATATTATCAAATGGTTCTTATCCTTTTTCTTCTCAATGTGGTGTATAATATTGATGGATTTTCGGATGTTA